TCTTCACAAAGTCGTATGGAAATCTTCCTCTGGATTGTGTACCAAGGGGAGGGAGGCAGAACTTCAAAGGCTAGTTTAAGTATTGTGGCTTTTTTGCTAACCACCTTGTATATATACATCACTGGATTTTTTTGACAGCTTTATTGAGATATCATTGACATATAAAAATTGTATATATTTAAGGTGTACAACCTGATGTTTTGAAATGATCACTGCAATCAAGCTAATTACCATATCCCTCCCCTCTACATAGTTATCATTTTGTGTGTGTGTGTGTGTGTGTACATGATTGGATTTTTACAACTCCTGCCTCCTGGCCTGTAAGGTCCACAGTGCAGGAAGTATGCCCATTTTACAGATGCAGAATTGGGCTCACACTGCCCACACCACTCATCAGTGACAGAGCTGAGCTCCACCCCCTGGCCTTCTGACTCCAAATCCCATACTCTATGATGTCACACTGCCTTTCTCTCTGCATTCATTTGACATTAATTTAGTGAGGCTTCATTAAGTACCCACTACTGTACGCATGATGCTGGGGACGATGCAAGGATGAAAGGGGCATGGTCCGTGTGCCCCAAGAGCTTACAGAGTAATAGAAGAATAAGACTAGTGTGTCCATAGCGTGTGATTGCCATGGATAAAGTGCTATAGAAATTCACACTTCTGATGAGGGATGAGGAGGAAAAGATGTGAAGACTTCACAGAGGAGGAAAGCCATGGAATTTGGTCTTGGGAGAATGAGTAGGAGTTTGTTGGGCAAAGATGGGGAGAAAGATATTGCGGGTTAATGTCATGAGCAAAGGCACAGAGGTGGGAAGGCGTGCAGCTTGACTGCAACATAAGGTATGTCTACAGCAGTATGGGAAATATAGCCAGAAAAGCAGGTTTGAATGAGATCTTGGAGGGCCAGGTTAAGGAGTTTGAACTTGACTTAGTATGTAAGGGTAGCTGTGGGAGATTTGGGGGAGTGCTGTGATTAAAGCAATTTGACAGGAATTATTGGTGGTGGCAGGGTAGGCCGACTAGAGAGGAGGAAGACGGGGGTGGCAGGACCAGTTAGGAACCTGTTGCACTAGTCCATGCGGCAGCTGAGGGCACCTGAAATAGGCTGGCAACAGTGGGAGTGGAGAAGAGGGGCTGTGTGGAAGAGGAAGAACAGATAGTTACGCAGGCTGGGTTTGTTAATAATTTTTTCCTGCAAGATTATTTTCTTTCTGGAAACTAATAGGAAGTATTTCAGTCAATGGCTAGGCATAGAAAGCAAAGTGGTTGATTAATCGTGGTGCCATCCTTTCTACATAAAGATGATACCTTTGGTCCATCATTATACTGATTCATCTCTACTCTTTCCTGACCATGAATTTGCAAAACAGTTGGCTGGAGGTAATGGTCCAGCCTACGATCATGGGTTTGAACAAAGCATACACATCCAGAATGTTCAGGGAATGGAGTGATTACATGACTTGTCCACAAACACAATTAATGGCAGAGCTAGAGGTTGAAAGCAGGTCTTCTGGCTCCTTATTCCAGGGCTCTGCCCACCATTGCATAGCTGAAATGCCTGTGTACTTGGATTTACAGTCAAAAGAGTCCGCTCAGTAGAGTTATTAGGAGCTAGGGTCTTGTAAAAACAAACAATCCGTAACACCATGGATGGCTTTCAAATGCATCAAATAGTAGACCCTCACCCACCTTTACTCCACGACTGCTTGTCTAGCTGTATAAACATTGGTTTGGGTCCCTGCAGCTCTGAGAATGTTCATAACCAATACCATTTCCTTATTGTGTAACCACTTCATGAGCTTGTGTTTGGCTGCTGACATGTTCGGTTGAAGTGTTGGCAGTTCTAATTACGTATATCCAGAGTGTGTGTAATATCCGTGTGGCTGAAAGGAAGGGGTTACTGCTGTTCACCATTTTATCCGGTGTGGCTGGAGAAAGCTTTTGTGCATGTGGGGGTGGGAGGAAGAGCAGAAATGGGAATACTGCTGCCCCAGCCAATCAGACAAGAACTTTAGATGTGGGGACCAGAATGACATCATTCATGGCCTATCAGGGTTGCCTGCCTTGACTGTGATTCTAAGGGGAAGGATTGGTGGTCCTTACCTCTGTATCAGATGGTAAGAGTCTGAGAAGAAAAGACTTCTTTTGGTTCTTTTTAATTTTGTATATTTGATAGTAAGACCCTATTTTATAAAACAATCTGATATAAGACAGAGTTCCTCTTCCTAGTTCATCGAGTCATTCATTCAGTGAACCAACGGCCTACTTCCTCTCCTGTTGCCCTTCCAGTCATTTCTTTGGCAGGACTGTGGAACTCTCATGATCTAAGCTGAGTGCTAGCACAGTGTCTGGCACATTGTAGATGTTCAGTGAATAGGTAATAAATTAATTAATGCCCTGGAAGTGGCCAAGTGGGATGGGGAATGAGTGAAGCAATGAGAATGAATGGTGTTTCTTTTGGCACTTCAAACTCCACCTTCTAGGTTGTTCCAGCTTGCTGTAGACCAACCCTCCAGGCAAGCATTTCCACCTCCACTGTCTCCCCTGCCCCTCCTAAGGTTCCCCTCCAACTTGACTAGCCAGGGGAGAGAGGAGGGAGGAACAAGGAAGTGTGCAGGCAGTGAAACTGAGGCAAATGGCCCGTTGGTGAATGCCGGCTTTAGTTACCTGCATCTTTAAAAGGTAGCTGGTTAACTCAAATGACTGTTTCAGTTGGTGCAGTTAAGGGAGGTTGAAAAACTAAAGTCAAGACTTTCCTACAGCTGGAAGATGTTTTAAATCAATGAGAGTTTACTCGGGAGCAAAGGAGCTGTCCTAGAACCCCTTAAATGCTTTCGTCTGAACACCTACTCGTCTTATTTATCACGCAGAGGCCCCTGGCCTGCTGCCAAACTGAAGGAGCAGAAGACACACCTCTTCACTGGTGGTTTGTGAAGCCGAAGAACTGGGGATGCTCTCATTTTTAAAAAGACGCTATACTTTTATTTTAACCTAGCTCTGTTCACTTTCCTTTTATTCAAACCCTTGCTATCCCTCTCGCTCTCTCCCTACCCTACTCTCTGGCAGAAAATATTATTATTTTTTCTTGTTTCCAAGCCCTTTTTGATTTTGCCCTTATCAGCAAGAAGAAATAAAATTCCTTTGCTTCCTGGCCAGGGAATGGGTACAGTGTAAAAGTCCCCTCGTAATGATTTCTGCCGAGAGAGGCCCTCACGATGGGATGCACTGCTTCCAAAAAGAGGAGTGGTAACAGAGTGGCCTTCTATTTTCCATTTGGAAAAGTCCACCCAAAGCCATTTTTGACTAAATTATAAAACTGCAGAGAAACACAAAGAATAGTCTAGCAAACACTCATATACCCACCATCCAGAATTGACAGCATGAAAGATAGTAGTATAAAAGATACTTCAAGTATCTTGTGTGTGTGTGTGTGTGTGTGTGTGTGTGTGTGAGAAAGATTAACCCTGAGCTAACATCTGATGCCAATCCTCCTCCTTTTGCTGAGGAAGATTGGCCCTGGGCTAACACCCATGCCCATCTTCCTCTACTTTATTTGGGACGCCGCCACAGCATGGCTTGACAAGCGGTGCATCAGTGAGCGCCCAGGATCCGAACCTGCGAACTCCAGGCTTCCAAAGGGGAGTGCGCACACTTAACTGCTACACCACCGGGCTGGCCCCTCGAGTATCTTTTTTGTTTTTTTTTTGTGAGGAGGACTAGCCCTGAGCTAACATCCTATGCCAATCCTCCCCTTTTTTCTTGAGGAAGAGTGGCCCTGGGCTAACATCCGTACCCATCTTCCTCTACTTTTTATATGGGGCGCCACCACAGCATGGCTTAACAAGCAGTGCACTGGTGCGCGCCTGGGATCAGAACCTGTGAACCCCGGGCTGCCGAAGCGGAGCGCAGCACTTAACTGCTTGCGCCACTGGGCCGGCCCCTCAAGTATCTTTTTTTAATACAAGAAATAAAATATTACAGGTAAAGCTGAAGTCCTCTTCAGTCTCATTCCCAGTCCCATCCCCTCTCCACCTTCCTGAAGGTCTATTTTACACTTTTTAATACGTATCTGTATCTATCCATGAATAATATGGGGTATGGTTTTGTAGATGTGTTTCTTAATTTACATAGATGGTTATTATACACTATAGGTCACTCTGCAACTCGCTTTTTTCACCCAACTTTATGCTTTTATGATTTATCCATGTTAATACATAGTTCTAAGCTCATTCATTTTAGCTATAGTAACCATTGTATGACTGCACTACAATTTATCCATTCCCCTACCAATGGACATTTAGGTTGTTCGACTTTTTCACACTTATAAACAATGCTGTATGTGTCTTCACATGTACAATGTCCCTGTCCAAGATGGAATTGCTGGGGCAAAGTAGGCATTCTTTAATTTTACTAGATACTGCCAAGTGGCCATACCAATTTACACTTCTACCAGCAGTGGTGAGAGTTCCCCCCATGTCCTCACCATCACCTGACATTATCAGACTTTTTAATCTTTGCCAATCTGCTGGGTGAGAAATGGTATCTTGTTATTGTTTTTATTTTATTTCCTGACAACTAGTGGGGCGGTGCATCTTCTCTTATAATCATTAAGCCAGTATATATTTAAAACTCGATTACTGGGGATGCTCAAAGTCATCATTTCAAGCAATTTCATTTCTTTTAAGTTTCAACAGAACCAAAGGAGCACATTTCAGTTCAGTATTTACACGTAGTTCTGTTCATTTATACGCCACAGGCAAGCCAGAGTTGACAGTTATGCAGATAAAAGGGGAAAATGCTTAAAATGAAGGGGGAAGGACTTAGGGTAGATGAAAATAAGAGGGTTGGGCATCTCTTCCTTATAGCTAACTAGAATTGTATAAATATAGTAGAAATGAATGTGTTATTCATTAATCCTTATAGATGAGTATAGTTATTTTCACTTTGTAAAGCTTTTGCAAATCCTGGAAAGTGTTGCAAGTAGTATAGAGCACTCTAGCACAATCCATGGCTGATTCCCTTGGGCTTTTCCCCCTATTTTCTCCCAGGTTTGTCGTGCTGTTCACAGATGACCTGGGCCATATTTCCCAGTGGAGTTCCATCATGGCTGGGAGTCTCGCAGGCATGGTTTCCACCATTGTGACATATCCTACAGACCTCATCAAAACCCGATTGATTGTGCAGAATATGCTGGAACCGTCTTACAGGGGGATCCTCCACGCTTTTTCTACTGTTTATCAACAGGAAGGGTTCCTGGCCCTTTATCGAGGGGTTTCCCTTACTGTTTTAGGTAAGATGGAACTTTTCACCTTGTCCAAGAAAAGGCTGCATTCTTTGACATATATGAATGTATTGTATACCTTTGTTTGTAACTAATTAAGTCTGTTTTACAGTCAAAGTCAGAGTCATATGGATTCAATCCATATAGAGTCAGTTAGCTGCATTCTATTCCATAGCCATGCACCTCACTCCTAACTTTGGCCTGTCACATCCCAGGGAGGGGAGTAGGACAGAGAGTGGAGGTGGCTCAGCACAAACCCATAGGAAGACAATCCCACACACTCCCCATCTGACTGTGGGAAGGAGTCTCTGTGTGCATGCATATGCTCATGAGCACCGCCAGGGTAGCAACTGTGTCTTCGGTGGTCTTTGTAACCTTTGCCAGGGCTACACACACACAGGTCACCTGTGACCCCCAGTTGCCAAATCCAGTAGACTTTCGCTCTTTATCTGACCTTTGTTACAGCATTTGATGAGATTGATCACCCTTTCTTCTGGAACCTTGGCTTCTATGACCCCACCGTCTCCTGGAGGCCTTTCCCACCTCTCTTTCTTATCTGACTCATCTGGTTCATCTGACACTGCCAGCCCCCTACATATCGCTATTCCCCAGGCTCCTTCTTTAGCTTTCTTCTCACCCTCCACACCCTCCCTAGGTGGCCTCATCTAAGCTAGTGGCTTGAACAAGCATCATTATACTCTGATACTCCCAATCTAATCTCTCTAATAACAACGACTAATAGTGGTGCTTACTAAGTGCCAGGCACTGTGCTAAATGCTTTGCATAGTTTCTCATTTAAGCCTCATTTTACAGATGAGGAAATAGATGCTTACGCAAGCTAAGTGACTTGCCCAAGTTCATATAGATAGAAAGTGAAAGAACCTAGCAGTGTAACCCCAGAGCCCTGTCTCTTAACCACTGACTGCTGCCAATTCCCAGTGGCAGTACGAATACCTACTATGGGACACCTTCACCTGACGCTCCCATGGTGCATCAAACTCAGGACTAAACTTGATGTCCTCAGTCTCACACCTGCTTTCGTCCTGTGTTCCCTGATGGATGAGAGCGCCTTCCTCTCACCCAGTGGCCCAAGCCAGAAGAATCCTAGACTCCCTTCAACGCCTCCTCTCACGCCACTTTTGCTTCAGTCACCAAGTGCTGTCTATTTGACCCCTTAACTCTCAAGTCTGTCCCCTTCTCCATCCGCATCTCTTCTGCTTCATGCTCTCATCATCTTTCCCACAGACACTTACAAAAGGCCCCTCCTTGGTCCCAGTCTTGGGTCTCTGCTGCTCCAGTCTACCCTGTGCACTGCTGCCAGGGTGTGGTGATCTTTCTAAATGCAGGTTGATTATTTCACCATCCCCATTCCACGGCCTGCCCTAAAAGCCTTCACTGACTCCTGAGCTACAGGGAAAAGCCCCAATTCCTTATGACATACCAGATCCTTCAGACCTAGCCCCAGCCAGCCCATCCTACCTCACCTCCTACCATGCCTCCACCTGCACTCATGATCCAGCCATTCAGAAATACCTGCATTTCCTGGAAATACCACTCCCTTTGTACATGTTGTTCCCTCTGCCTGGACTGCCTGTCCACTCTCTCAATGTCTGATGAACTCCTACTCATTCCTCAAGACCCAGTTGAAAAGTTCTCTCTTCTGTGAAGTCCTTCCTGATTCCCCCAGGCAAAATTAATCCCTCCAATCCTTGTGTGCCTAAAGCACTTTGTATAGCCCCCATTATGGCATATGTCAGCTGTCTCCTCCATTAGATGGTGAGCATCTCCGGGAATTAGCCTACTCTTTGTATTCCTGGCACCTGGCATAGGGCCCAGCATATAGCATGAGCCCCACAAATGTTTTCTGAGTGAAGGTTAATGAGAGGTTGGTGCATCATTTTTACTGTGTTTTTTAAATAAATATTATATTTTTCTAAAGATGAGCAACCCCACTTGTATTATCTCCTCTTCTAAATCTCATTTTGAGGGGGAAATTCACTCCCTCTGTGAACTTAAGGTGGTTCCCAAAGTTTCTGGAAGTTTATGCAAGTACCACCTACTGCACTACTTGCTCGCCATCTTTTCTTGGAAAGGTGAGGATGCCGCACAGTGCAGGGTGCCCGCTGGGCCCTGATGTAGCCATGTCATTCCCAAAGGCAAGATCTAGTAACCTCCCTCACCACTACAGTCTCACTTTCCAGTTTTCACAGAATGTTTCCTTCTCTGCTAGAGATCAGTCCCTCGTAGCCTCCAAAACTTGATGAAGTGCCGCCCACTAACTTATTTTTTGTGTGTGTGAGGAAGATGAGCCCTGAGCTAACATCCATGCTAATCCTCCTCTTTTTGCTGAGGAAGACCGGCCCTGAGCTAACATCTATTGCCAGTCCTCCTCCCTTTTTTCCCCAAAGCCCCAGTAGATAGTTGTATGTCATAGTTGCACATCCTTCTAGTTGCTGCATGTGGGACGCGGCCTCAGCATGGCCGGACAAGCGGTGCGTCGGTGCGCGCCTGGACCCGAACCCGGGCCGCCAGTAGCAGAGCGCGCGCACTTAACTGCTAAGCCATGGAGCCGGCCCCCACTAACTTATTTTTTATGGGAGTGATTTTTTCCAACATTTTATTTTTTTACATTTCGAACACCCAGAAAACTTCAAAGAATTGGAAACACCCATGTACATGGTGTAGCATCTAGAAGCTACAATTAACATTTTCCTTTATCACATATCTATCCATCCCTCTGGCCATTCATCGGTCCATCTTATATATTTTTTGATGATTTCCATGTAAGTTGCAAACATCAATACACTTTATCCGTCAACCCTTCAACACGTGTATCATTAACAGAGTTCAATATTTGTTTATGGTTCTTTTTAAAGTAAAATTTATGTACAGTAAAGTGCATAAAGCTTTAGGGAACCATTTGCTGCATTTTGACAAGTGACACAACCCCTATCAAAATCTAGCATATTATCATCACCCAGGAGACTTCCTTCCTGCTCCTTCAATTGGAGTGATGTTAACAAGCCCAGAGCCAGCCCTGTTTACTTTCCTGCATTCCCCAGATGCATTGATGTTCTCAAGCCAGTGTTTCCTGAGCCATCAGCAGCCTTTCCCGGCCTTGTTTTGCAGGTGCTCTCCCGTTCTCTGCTGGCTCCCTTCTAGTGTACATGAACCTGGAGAAAATCTGGAATGGACCCCGAGATCGGTTCTCTCTCCTCCAGAACTTTGCCAATGTCTGCCTGGCCGCTGCCGTGACCCAGACCCTCTCTTTTCCCTTCGACACGGTGAAGAGAAAGATGCAGGTGAGGAGTTATGTTGGAGGTAGTGTCGGGGTGGGGGGGATGCCTCGAAGTGTTTGTAGTGGGTAACAACAGCAGAGAACAGCGACCCTGAGTGATGCCAGGTTTCCAAGGAGCTTGTGACTGCTCATACAAATACTATGCAAACCCCTACTCCATGGCATTTCTGCTGCTAACCTCCGGGCTATGCGCTCAAGCCTAAGCCACCTCCCGTCCCCATACTCTGCTGTTTTGAGTCTTTTCTGAAGGCTCCAGACGAGGCCCATTTTTCTTTCCTCTCTTCCTCATAGCTGCCGCCACCCGTTATGTCAATGCAGCCTCCTAACCTTCCCTCTCTCTGCAGCTCCCACAGCGAGGACACGGCACTTTTTTGCTTTCATAGCCACTCCTTATGTCAGTGAAACAGACTGGGAAGAGTCAAAATAAGCCAGGAACTATCGATAACAATGGTCCCGTAGTCCCTGACTCCCTTGCTAAGGAAGTGACTGCATTTGAAATGGGTCGGTGTCATAGTGGTATTGGCCCTGCCTTTTCCTAATTGTCACCTGGGAAAACTCACATTTTCTCCACAGACCACAGAGGCAAAAGCCTGCTATCAGAGGTCCCAAAGTCAGTAATTGGCTTAACCTAGAATCAGCCAATTTTGATCAAAGAAAAATCAGAGTGGTCTAAGTAAGATTGGGGTTACAGGCTGGTCGGTACAGTGGGGCAGGCTCCGAATCAACCAGGGCTGAGGCTTCACATCTGCCCATGGTCCTGCTCACTCTCCACTAGCCTCCCTTAACAATCCCCTCCCCAGGCTTGCCTGCCTCCCAGCCTCTTCTGGGCAAATCTTGATTATACAACTGATATATTCCTGAAGAGCTGCTTGGATATTAATTTGGGGTCAGTTGAATCCAATTTTAAGTGATCAGTCTCAGCTGAGTTTGTTTTTCTGCATGTCTCTAACTTGTCCCTCTGCTGCTCAGTGGCCCCCAGCTTCCTCTCTGTGGCTTTCTTGGCTGGGCTGGGCCTCACTTACATCAGCACTAAAAATCGTGAAAGTACAGTCTGGCCCTCCGTATCTGGGGGTTCAGCAGCCGGGGGTTCTGCATCCGGGGATTCAGCCAACCATGGACCAAAAGGCCTATGATGGTTGCATCTGTAATGAACTTGTACAGACTTTTTTTTCGTGTCATTATTCCATAAATAATACAGTATAACAACTATTTACATAGCATTACATTGTATTAGGTGTTATAAGTAATCTAGAGATGATTTAAAGTATACGGGAGGATGTGCTCAGGTTATATGCAAATACTATGCCATTTTATTTATATAATAAATAACTTGAGCATCTGCGGATTTTGGTATCCCCGGGGGTCCTGGAACCCATCCCCCATGGATATCGAGGGACAACTGTACTTACCTCAACCTATGAAGACAAGCTGCCTTCAGAATAATACACATCACGATCACACCCAATTCTACGGCTCCAATCTATCAAACTTTTCACTGTCTGGGTTGTGTTCCTTTCCTGTCCTTTGTCCAAACAAATAAATAATTGTCACATTATTGTAATTGTAATGTAGATGCCAGTTTAGAGCCTGCTTAGTGCATGCTTATTTATAAAAACCATTATTCCTAATTCTGAAAAGTAATGCATATACACTTAAAAATGGTTAAAATGGACAATTTTATGTTATATGTGTTTTACAACAATAAAACAGTAATGCACAGATTGTAGAAAATTTGGGAAATACAAAAAAGTACGAAAAATATAATGACCTATAAACCCAACACCTATAATGATTACTAGTTTTACTCCTCTGTATGTTCATATGTGTATGCACATATGTATACATGTGCATAAATACAAATATATATAACATGTATATGGAAGGTTATTTTTTACAAAATTGCATTCCTATTGTGTACAAAAATTATTATCCTGCTTTTTTCACTTATTATATAATGGATACTGCCCCAGGCCATCAAGTATTGAGAACATCTTTTTTAATTATCACATAATATTCTACCAGCTGGATGTGCCATAAATATTTTTTTTTTAAAAAACAACAGAGATTTATTCTTTCAAAGTTCTGGAGGCTAGAAGTTTACTCTCAAGGTGTCGCGGTGTCGGCAGGGCCATGCCCCTTTCGAAGGCTCTAGGGGAGGCTCCTTCCTTGTCTCTTTCAGCTTCCAGCAGCCCTACTCGTTCCTTGGTTTCTGGCAGCATCACTTCAGTCTCTGCCTCCATCGTGCCGTAAATAACTTCTCAGTCTTTGAATATTTAGGCTGTTTCTAATTCTTCGGTAATGATAACATTGCAGTCAAAACTCTGGTATTTTTTACATCTGTGATGACACCCTTCGGCTATGTTCTTAGAAATCGACTTACACGTTGCAAGATAAAAATAGTTCTAAGGCTCTTAGTGAAGTTTGCACCCTAGAAAGGTTGTAAGTTTACACTTGCACCAGCAGTGAGAGTGGTTCAGCTCCTCAACTCTCATCAACGTTAATTACTGTCACTTTTTAAATCCTTGTGAACCTAATAGCTGACAAGTGCTATCACATTGCTTTAATTTGAGTTTCATTGATTATAAGCAAATTGCACGTTTTTCATATATCAGTTGGTCCTTTGTGTTTCCTTGTAAATTTTCTATTTATGCCCATTGCCTATTTTTCTAGGGTATTCAACTTTTTCTACGGATCAGTAAGAAGTCTTTATATGTTGAAGATATTAACCCTCTGTCATACATTGCATATATTTTTCCTAGTTTGACATTTGGCTTCTAGTGCTGTTTATGTGTTGTTGTTTTTATTGTATATATTTTTTAAATTTTCTGCAGTTATATCTATTACTAATTTTTTGTTTCTAGCTTTGCTTTTTCTGGTGTAAAAGACCTACCCCATCCCACAATCGTATGACTATTCACTTATAGAGTTCTTTAAATACTTTTTTGTTATAATTTTTACACTTAACACTTTAATATACTTAGAATTTACTGGAGTATGATGTGAGGTAATAATCTAATTTTTTCAAAAAAAATAGTTTACCAATTGTTGAAGCATCACTGTTGGAATAATCTTGTTTTCCACCCTACTTTCTGATGCGACTTTTACCACCTCCTAGATGTTCACATGCTCTAGGGTCTGTCTCGGAGCTCTGTATTCTGCTCTGTTATCTGTCCATCTGTTCTTGTGCCAGGACCACACTATTTCAATTCCTGTAGCTTGATAGTACCTTTTCGTATATGGCAGGGCATCTCCCTCCTCATTCCTCTTCTTTGCAACATTTCCTTGAGTATTCTCAGTCATTTGTTCTTCCTGATGAACTTGAGCATTACCTTGTGATTATGATTAGAATTATGTATATAATTATATTAAACCTATAAACTTGGAATAATCTATGTAAAATATTCTGTCTTTTATTCAGGAATACAGTATATCTCACCTTTAGTTTCAGTCTTCTTGAAGAAGAACCATATGAAATTGCCAACATTCTATGTATGTCCTTTTGACGTACTCAAACAGCAATTTCATGTGGTTCAACCCTTAGAACAGTTGATTTCTTTGTATGGCAATTATGCTTTTTCTAAAAATTATATCTTCTTTAAAAAAAAGTCAGGGAGAGGTTGAGTGGGAAGGAGGTATGATATACTACAAGCTTTTTATTCAGTTTTTGTGTGTGTGTGTGAGGAAGACTAGCCCTGAGCTAACATCCGATGCCAATCCTCCACTTTTTGCCAAGGAAGACTGGCCCTGGGCTAAAATCCATGCCCATCTTCCTCTACTTTATATGGGACAGCACCACAGCATGGCTTGACAAGCCGTGCGTCCATCCGCGTCCCGGATCTGAACCCGCGAATCCTGGGCCACCACAGCGGAGCACACGAACTTAACCACTGCGCCACTGGCCAGCCCTTTTATTCATTTTTTAAAATCTGGGGCCTAAGAATTTCTCTTACTGTCAGGAGTGAGAAGAGGCTCTCGCTGTTGATCATCAGATGATGGATGAAACAAAGGCTACTTAGATCACTGGCTTCCATGCTTTGAGGATCAGTTTTTGAAATAGAGCCAGAGGCATCTCTCCAGCACTTTCTGGCACCTCTTATAATTTAGTGTTCCTTATGCGTAGTTCAAGGTTTGGTGAGCTCAGCTTCCTCCCCATACCAGGCCTGCCCAAAACCGGGGCCTTGAGCCTGGGGGTTGAGGTAGTCAGTAAAATAAGGGTAAGATTCTGGGATGAATTCTGATGTGTGAGTTTCATCATGCAATTGGGTTTCACACCAAGGAATTCTCCAACACCAGCTGGGTGTCCTACAATTTAACTCAATTCTGACACTATCTATTGGGAGATAGTATCAGATTCCACAGGTTAAGGGCTCAGTCCCACAAGACTGCCCCCCACTTCAGATGCCAATTGAAAAGTCCAAGTTGTTACCTGTGCTTCTGACCAACTGGCTATAAATCAGAGGTTCCCACAACCGCCTCCTCAGGTTTGATTAATTTGCTAGAGCAGCTCACAGAACTCAGGAAATCAGTTTACTCACTAGATTACCAGTTTATTAGAAAGAATATTAAAGGATATGAATCAACAGCCAGGTGAAGAGATACATAGGGCGAGGTCCTGAACAAAGGAACTTCTGCCCCATGGAGTTTGGGACCTGGCATTGTGGCACATGGATGCGTTCTGGTTCACCAACCTGGAAGCTGTTCAAACCCGGCGCTTTTGGGTCTTTATAGAGGCTTCCTTACATAGGCATGATTGATTAAATCATTGGCCGCTGGGGATGGGTTCAACCTCCAGCCCATATCCCCTCCCAGGAGGCCAGGAAGGCGGGAGTGAAAGTTCCAGCCCTCTAATCACGTGGTTGGTTCCCCTGGCAACCAGCCCCATCCTTACGTGCTTTCCAAAAGTCATCGCATTAACATAAACTCAGGTGTGGTTGAAAGGGGCTTGTTATGAATATCAAGACACCTTTATCACTCTTATCACTTAGGAAATTCCAAGGGTTTTCC